AAGTAGAAAATCAACATTTCCCAGAAAGCTGGAAATTCGTCGAGGAATTTCTATAAACTAGAAAATCCCCGGCGATTTTTCGGTTGATTTTCTATAAACTAGAAATTAATTCAAGATTACAGTGTACGACACTAACACATTCTGGTTTATAGATGAAGTGGACATATTTAAAAAAAAATGGCTGACTACTGTCTAGGGATGTAGCCGTAGCGATTTCTGCTCTCAATTGTCCACGGTAATTCATCAGTATAATAATTTTTTAAGAAAAAATTCACTTTCCGATTGCATTAACTCCTGTTTCATAATTCATGTGTTTATACTAACGCAGCAGCTAAATAACAGGCATAAAAAAGCCTCGAGAAGTTATGTACTCTTGTAATGAGGTCGGCAGTGCTACTACTCGTTGTACGAGAGTTACTGCTTCTGTACTCAAGACTCTGATAGTTTAAACATTTATGTGAATTGAGAGTATATGTTAGAGCGTGCTTCGGTAGCTCAGTGGTTAGAGCGCGTGACCTGTTACCAGAGGATTCTGAATTCGATTCCGAGTTGAGGGATACAGTTTCTTTTCTTTGCGAAAAAGATAAATTGAAAAACGTTTTTTCGTGTCTAACTAAATGTTCCTCTAGGATGTAGTTGAGTGAATTGCAGCGGCTTTTACCGTTATTCTTCTGCGCCATTTTATGTATACAGTCCGTTCTATCTCAAATTTCAATTTTTTTTTTCATTTTACTTCTCTATATTCGCTTATTCACTTCTGAACAAATAAGCTCTGTACTAGTTAAGGAAGCTGTGATATTCGTCACGCAAGGCCTAAAACTGATGGCTTTTTATCTGGTTCATGAGAAAGCCTCAGTTTTACAAAATAAATTACATAGGAGCGCGACAAGTTTTAACTAAAGTTATAGCAAAATTATTGGGTTATTCAAATATGTACTTGGAATTTAAATTAAACGAAATTACATCGATGAAATACTAAAAATATTGTGATGACAGATACTTTCGCTTTTCCGTTTCTGACAAAGTTAATTTATCTCAGTAACTGTTTAATTCTTAAAACGTTGGTCTATGTTTATGGTCAAAAGATAAGTCGAGAGTCTAAGAATAAAAAGAAATTTTCTCTAACTTTATAGATTAGTGTAGGAAGGATCAATCTTTTCGAGATAGCTTCAATTTTTCATCCATTTTGTGCACTGATACTTCCACTTTTGTTTTCTTCATCTGTAAAATAAATTCGGTCGTTCTGAAACAGATACCATTTTTCAATATTCAGAAGTTACGCATGTCATGAAAAGATAAACTCAAACTCTCTTGCAGTTCCCGAGAAAGTCAAAAATTACGACGAAATGTGCACTGACATTAAACTCAACGTATCTCCAGGAAAACTTGATCAAACTTAGACTCATTATGTACCAATCCGCTCGTCTTTCTAACTTGCATCCAACTACATACTCAGAATGGTGTACCACTATCTGGTGAGCCATAAAGAATGAGCCTCTTAAGATTTTCCCTTTATCTCTCGATACTTCAGTCCTCTAGAGTTCATTCTTTTCTTAAAAGATGAGTAATGGCATAAAACGTGTTGTTGTGTTGCGTGTTTAATGAACTAATATTATTTATGTTCGATTGAACATACGAGAAGAAATATTTTTTGCCACATATCGCACGATAGATAAAAAGTAAGAATACGTTGCGTTACATAATTCTCTACATCATATGACTCGCTTTTTTGCAAAAACGATGACTAAACAAGAAAAACAAATCCCTGAACAAATACACAATGTCTGTTGGCATAAATATCAGGCTTTTTTTCATGTTTTCAACACATTTTCATAAAGCGGTATATCAACAGTGTTCCTTTAAAAATCCAGGTTCACATCACGGCTGTTGACATTTTGCTACACGCTTTTAAAAAGTCGGCTCTCATTTCCTAAACATTTCGAAAAAGAAAATTCTTACTGATTAGACAGCAACAGATTTGATGGTAAAACTAATCCAAATTTTGTTGTTACAGCTTCTTCAATTTTACATCAGCACATGATTTAATTGAATAAATAAATTACTCTTTACCTTGTATATTACACTGTTACTCATACCTATTTCTATATAGCACACTATTAGATATTATTTGCTTTTTCTTTTCGCTCTATAACCTTATTGCTTGACATTCAACGAAAAGCAAATAGAAAAAAATAGTATAATAATTATTTCACAATGCCGGTAAATTTGTTTGTTGTACTGTTCTAGGTAATTGCACAATCTCAACTTTCTCGCATTATAATATACACTTGTACTACAGAACACAACAGGACGAGCCGCAAATCTACAGCTTTTCTAACCTGATGAGCCTGAAGCATAAGGAACATTGGTATTATTCTCTCTTCACAGAGAGACATACCATTGGCTGTGGATTGAAATCGACACTCGTTCTACTTTTTTTGAATAAACTGAACTTTTTCGAATGCTAAATTTTGAGTCTAACACTTGAACTAAACTAACTTGAAAACTAACTTTTAACCTATTTTTAACCCGTGAATAAATTCACCGGTAATTTGACTGGAAAGGAGATTCAGATTGGTTAAACCAGTCTGAACCTATCTCGGCATATGTTTGATTTACTGTCGATGATACTGATAATAATTCCGCAGTAGAATTAGTACTAGTAGAAGCACGAGGAATATTCTGGCTTAAATAAGCCGATCGACGATGACAATATTTGATGACATTGAAGATAATAAAACTAATTATAATCAAAAGTCTACATACTCCGCCTACAATAGATCCAACTAAAATCTTAGCGTTGACCTTGCTCTTATCTGTTACTATCGCTGTTGGTGTCTCTGACAGCTGACGAGATAAGTTTTGTATTCGTTCATTATTGTCATCAGCAATAAATAAATTTTCTTGTGGATCTCTGGCTATTCCACTTGGTGAATTCAACGGGTCTGACTGATTGCCTAGTCCATTACCACCAACGACAACTGTTCCTGCCGTTCCTTTACCTCATGATAAACTTGTCCACTTTGAAACTCGATTATTTCCTGAGTCAAGAACATACAATGTGGTACAATTATCATTCATTACAACTAACAGTGATGTTGGTACACGTAATTGATCATAATTTCAACCACGTCCTCGACCACCTGCCAGGGTGATACCTTCTGTTAAATCGTATTCAGTAAATAATTGTACTTGGTCCTGGTTATTATCGACAACATAAATCATATTATTTTTATGAGCAAAGAGACCTGCTGGCGAAAAGTGATCACTTTGTTGTAGAACAATTTCTCCTTTCGTACCTTTGCCAGATGTTGGCCATTTCGTTATGCGATGATTATCGTAGTCCGAAAGGTAAAGATAATCATTATCAGTAACAAATAATCCAAAACACTGTGATATTTGATTTGTTTGATTTCCTCTTCCATTACCACCAGCTATAACTGTCCAATTCTCACTAGTGGTAAGCAAATATTTCAATATTCGAGAATCTCTACCACTGTCAGCAATATATAAATTATCGTGTTTGTCAATCAAAGAGCAGATGGATCTGAGTGCTCATTATGGATGATCAAGTAGTTTATCAAAATAAACTTAAACGAAGGACGATTTTTCACAAAAAAATGAAATAATAATAAAACAGAGTCGGGCCGGGAGCCCGACTATTTAAATTGGTCCGACCGGCTCGGCCGAGCCCGAGAATAGCCTGGACCGAGACCGCCCGCCCGCAAAATTCGGGACCGGGCCGAGCGGGCGGGCCAGCCGGCCCGTTTTCTGCCCTGGCATCTGGTACATGTTTTTGGGCTTCCATGAAAAATCTCATAACTCTTGATCAGAACATCATTCAGAGCTGGGAGATATCTTATTTTGATCAAATGTGTTTGCTCTATTTCCTGATGTCATTGAAAGAATTTGAATTTGTTTTCTTGTTGTTTGTTTGTTCTAATTCTTTCAATAACATCACGAAATAGAAGGATTTCTTGTGTCACAGTAGCGTACAGCAGTCATAACTATTCTTTTAACACACACAGAACAATTTTGCAGGCTACAGAATAAAGACGTTGTTCATTTAGGGTAAAAAAGCTGCCGTTCTATTTTAGGCCCGAAGTAGCACTACATTTCACGGTGTTTTACCATTGATTTATACTTAGTCGTATACAGATAAAATAAGTCTACGAGAAAAAATTAATAATGCCCTCATTGGTTTTCGTGAGATTTCTGACATGGATCTTGTCATGATTTATCATCCGTAATACCTCTTTACACATTTGAAATTAGCAGATGTAATTCTTTTAATATTATCTTTTGTGTTTAAAAAAAGAGAACCGGACAAACAAGGTCATGCCTATAGTGTTAATTCAATAGAAGTTCGCGACATAGTAAGTTTCGAATGTTTCAGATGTAGCAACTCTTTGTTTTTTGAAGTTATTAAGTTTAGACACCGATATTCAGGGGTCTACGAAAAATGGTAGAAAGAAAATAGGTCGGGCAAAAACTGGTCGCCACGAAATATGACCGCTACGAAATATAGTCGCTACGAAAATTAGTCGAGGAATTTGTAATAAAAGAAAAAAAACGTTTTTTAAAGAAAAGCTCGAACTGTCAAGTGTAAAGGTAAAATTCACACTAATTATATTAATACAATGATGTTATACGAAACTGATAATCGAGACAAATAAGTTAGACAGATACAAAAGAAAAGTATAGAGTTTATAAATGATGAGCAAGTCCTTCTAATTGTTGTAGTAAGGTTGGATGTGGATGCGTAATTAAATGACGCAGACGTTTCCTACAATTTAAATACTTTTTACCTGGTTCAACTTTTTGACCAGAATTAAGTTTAATTAATTGACAATGAATAAAATGTTCTTCGTTCTATAGACTTTCAATGAAAGTCCAAAGGGTAGGATGCCGACATTGAATGATTGAGTTAAGACGACGGTGCCAAGCTTCAGCTGAATTATTCGTGCGCATGGAAAGATCAGTTGTTCGTTGATGCATGTTCCAGAATTCAACTGAAAACATGGGTTTGGTTCGTCCTTGTGACCGTTGTCTGCCTATATAAGTGTCTTCAAAGTAATCAAATAGTGGATGAAGCATTGGTGGTGATAAATTATGAAGATCATCAAAATCTTGACTAACATCTGCTGGTTGAAGAAATGCAAGAGCAGCAATGTTACTGACATTAAGTGCGAATACAGGATCTTGTTCATAATAAAACCCAGTTCCTGCAGAGAAGAAATGAAGTGTGAATATTTGAATTATCTATCAGACTTAATTACTCACTTGAACTTTACGTTGAATATTATTTTGTAAATGGAAAACGTAACCCGACAAAATCCATCATTATGGATTTGAGATTCCATAGTGGACAAAGTTCTACTAATTCATTAATAAGACTTTGATATGTTTGCTAATTCTTATTTGGTAATAATGCAAATACAACTGGTATACCAGCGTTCCAATAAATCACATGCATAGCATATAATTGATAGAAAATCGTTGGTGTTAACTAAACGGTTTAATCCGTTTAAAACGTATATATATGAAAACGAAGAAAAAAAATACTGACCTTAAATGTGCCATCGACTAATAATTCTTCGCAATTTTTCAGTAGATGTAATCGATCAACAGATGAAAAGATCAATAAGCGATCATTATCAGGTCCAGAATCAAATTGTAGAAATTTACTATTGCGTTTCGTTGTTGCTAAATTATCAGGAATTCGATCAAATGCTTTATCATGTGGAATTTTCGGTAAATCATTTTTTGCGCGATGATGTTGAATATTTCATTTTATATGTTTAAAGTCAGGCAGACGAGCTACAGCTGCTTCCGATAAATTCGTTAAACAATTATCAATAATAGTTTGTGTAGTTTCATTACAACGAACAGCACGACCACTTTAGATATACCACCATGGCAGCTTCTTTCTAAGTGATAGAAGTCAATAAGCGAGATATTCTGTCTCTAATTTAGATCAAAAACAACCACACACATCCTCCAGTACTCAAATATCGATACTGGATGATAATACATTGTCAAAA